CAGATGGAACAGTCGTCGGCCAACATTCACGAGAGTCTCAATACTATGATTGACGCGCAAACACACTATCGTCTCAATGAAGCCAAAGGCAGGAAACGGGCTGAAGATCTCAACAATCGGGTCCTTTGGTGGTCTCTCATCGAAACAGGTGTTGTACTACTCATAGGCGTCGGACAAGTGATGGTTTTGAAGAACTTTTTCACCGATAAAAAGATATCAATTCTGACGAATACATAGTTCTGTTAATACAAATTGTAGTCCATTTTAAACCATTGTTTGCAATATTTGCCAGTAATTCAAATTGAATTCAATTTTCATCCTCTATTCAAATAAATCTATGAATTACTGCTCTTTTGATAGTTTTACCCAAAAAATATTTATGTATAGTATTATTGGATTTGTTTTGCATATATTATACCGTAATATACAAACAAATTAAATCAGTTAATCCATTAGACAATTTAATGAATGCAATAATAATTATAATTTTAATAAATGATAAAATTATACATCAAAGAGCGCATCCAATGATGACACTCGGCGTCGATATTGATTTGTCTGAATCTGATTTGTATATATAATAAATGAATGTTTTACACATATATACAGTATATCAAACTTAAATTAAATTAATCACAATTTAAACAATGAATAAATAATGATTTTATGAGTTTTGATAACAATGTCTGAATCTGATTTGTATATATAATAAATGAATGTTTTACACATATATACAGTATATCAAACTTAAATTAAATTAATCTGTTAAATTTGTTACTTATTTATTACTAAAATACTCAAAACTATTGTTCTTTTAACAAATTAATTAACGAAAATAATCTTCACCTCCACTCTCCTCTGCAGTTTGGTTTGTTGACAAGTAAAAGCACGACTTCATCGCTCTATTCAAACAAAAATCAATTTACATATTAATTCATTTGATTCATAATAAAACAAACATTACTTTATATGAACTGAGAAGTGATTTAAGAGATAATGTCTGCTCTTCTCTATTCTCGGACTGACTATTGACTGAAAGTTGTGGCGAATTATCACTATTAGTGTCCATAAGTGCCGACACATCGGATGCTATAGTCTTTGCGGTGGTCTTGGACTCGATTCTTCTCATCACGTCTTTCATGAGATTCTCGTTATAAAGATCTAAATGTGATTTATATTGTCGTAAAGACTCAAAGTCTGTGACATTCATGTCGTGAAATACTCGGTCGATAACATCGATGAAATCATTGTCGGACTTGAGCTCTAAGAAGTCGCTTGTCGTGCGAATGGTTTGACATAAACTCCACATATATTTGGACAACACGTCTACCAATAGATCCAAAACCGATTCATTCATAAAATCAAATCCATAGAAGACACTAATGATAATAACCGCTCTTCTCATCAGTTGTTTCACCGCTTTTTCGTTCAAAACTTTGTCTTTAATTTTCAAAACATTGAACCCGTTGTCAACGGATGCCATGAGTGGCGGAATGGACTCAACGGTGATCTCATCCTTAACGGTGTTGTCATTTAATTGTCTTAAAAGTCTCTTCAGTTGAATGGTTTGCATCATTAGTGGACAACCGATGGGTATATCACTGACGAGCCAACTGTCCATCTGTTGGTCCTCTTTATTGTCTGTCAAATGGAAATGCATTTTATCTGAGGAGGAAGTGAAGGGAATGGGAGTAACTGTAGTGATATCGTCGGGTGTGTTGTGAATGTCACCAATCGGTGGTAATATGTGGGCCGAAGAACCCATTGAACCCCAATATTCACTCATTTGTAACGTTATTATCGAGATTTAAATCACAAATTACTGCCAATTATAATACAGTAGTGTTTGTATTGACACCTCTCGGCATTCGTACCCAATGTTAAACTCAGCGCAACAAAGTTTGCGAGCACTACACTGAAGCCAACATTACATATATTCGCCCCTCGAGTATGACTTCACTGAATATGTCATTCATTGAATGCCAACCAAAGCAGTCATCACTCGTCCATAAATGACAACTCAATCACTTGTCTATCATTTGTCACAATCTTTGAGACAATATTACATATGAAACGACTTTACCATCGCTTAAAGGACACCATTAACTGATTGTACGATGAATTTGATGGCAAGGATGAGGTGATAGTGACGTGAAGAGTGAGCACAAGGAGTGAGTGTTGTGTCAATTGCGGACGTAATTGATTGCAATGACAAGAGTTTTCCGGATTTGCTTCAAAAGACATTGAATTGAGTTTTGTTTCCGGACTCAAGAGTTGGATCACTTGTGGACACGATTTGTGCGGTTATATCACTGGTTTGGATGTGATATCCATTGCATGGGATTGTGTGCATCACTCGACACATGTCTAGTTGGATGAGATGGTGAGGAAGTGTTGCAATAGATGTTGTGTTTGTCATTGTTTTCCGTTTCTCTTATGGATGTCTCAACACTAATGATGGCGTCGTTTCCGTTATTGCCGTCATTTCCATCCATTACTTCCCAAAACAATACCATTCATACTATTATTGTCTCATTTTATTGACTGTGCGTTGAATTAATTGATTAAACAATGTTTGCCTTAACTGTAATCCAACCAGAATTACGCCAAAGCCATGGAAAACAGTGGAGAACTACTCAACGATTGCATCAAATTAGTGAAACTCAACCCAAACAACGCTTTGAGGTATTTATGCCGTCATGTGATCGCCAATCGCTAACCACAACCCCATTGGACACACAGTATGGCCAACGTATCGCCGCAGAGCCAAGCGATGGCATTGTCTTCAAACATCAATTTAGTTGATTTGGGAAAGAAGTTGTTGGAGGCGTCGAGGAATGGCGAGACCGAAGAGGTGCGCGCACTCATGCAGTCGGGCGCCCCCTTCACCACCGATTGGTTGGGCACAAGTCCTCTGCACTTCGCCGCACAGTTCGGTCACTCGGAAACGGCCGAAGTGTTACTCCGGGCGGGAATCAGTCGCGACGCGCGAACCAAAGTGGACAGAACTCCGCTCCATATATCGGCACAAGAGGGACATCTGGCGATTGTCTCACTACTCATTATGCATGGATCCGATGTGGACGCGAAGGACATGCTTCGGATGACACCTCTTCACTGGGCCGTCGAGAGGGGCCACACGGATGTGGTCGAGTGTCTGCTCAGTAATGGCGCCGATATTAACATTACGAGTAAGTTTGAAAAGACTCCGATCGACATCGCCTACGATAATGGAAGACTCGAAATGGTTCCCACTCTTCAGGTATTTCATACGATATACCATTTATTCATTGATATAATTGAAATGTGATGTAATTCCTGACAGAAATATGTGGGAATCGCTCGACCGAAAGCCGATCCAAAGCCAACATCTGCTCCGGCGGTCAAAATGAGACCAATAGTATTACCCAATAAAGCGAACCGAACCTCAAAATCACCGAAAAATTATTTGCATACAAATAAACCCGTATTTCCGACTGGAGTTAACTGGAAGAGTAAGCATTACTTAGACATGATTTGAGTGCATTTATTGGATGTGTAATGATTTGGATTGTGTTTAAGGAGAGGACGGAAATACGGCGAACCCAGTATTGGCCACATTAGCGGCGTTGGCGGCCGCGGGATCTGGTTGTTCGGTAGGCGATGCTCTGCAATGGCTGGAAAGTCAGGGCATATCAGTGAACAGTTCTGCCACCGATTCTGCGATATTCCAGAACGCCTTCGAAAGCGGACAAACCATGTCTTTGACTGAAGCGGGAAAACAAGCGCTCAATTTTGTGAAAGACCAACACTTGCAAAGACCCACTCAATCCGTGACCACCAGTGCGAACACAAATGCCAATTCAAAACTGATCACAATAGTGGCCGACAGCGCACAACTGCCGCAAATCATAAACAGCTCGTCAGCGACGCCTATAGTAGTAGTGAGCGGTTCGCAGGACTCGCATGAAATGCAATCTCAAAAGTTGACTCTTAATAGAAAGAATACGAATACTATTTATACCAAAATACAAAACAAACCGTTGACCACAACTACTGCCAGAATTAACAGTATATCGAAAGCACCGAATATATCGAGTATAAAACATGTGGTGATTTCTAATTCGTCGACTGATTCCAGTTTTGATGATATTGTCAAAGAAAGGGATCGACTTTCGCATGAATTGAAGACAACTAAACAACTTTTAGAAGAATATAAGAATCAGTTATTAGAAAAAGATAAACAATTAGAGAAGAATCGACAGGAATTGGAGAAATTGCGAGCCATTCATAAATGATTGAAATCGACATCTAATTTAAAAGCCATAATTGTATAAAATTTCACGTTAATTATAAATATATCTATATTTCTATTGTAATCATGTTTTCATTATATGATATATCGACTAATTATTGTAATAATAATAACAACACCTCTTATATAAAACGGGATTTGTGTAATAAAGTGTTCATTGAATTCATTAAATACAATAATTACAAATATGTTTTGACAATTTGTTTTCCAGTCAATAGAAATCTATTTTAAATGCAATTTAAAATTAAATGCTTGAGTTGTGAATCAGACTTACGATTAGAGTATGAGTTAAGTTAACTTTTATCAAAAGGATATTCATTTGGAAAATACGACCGGAAATTATTTAATAGAAATTAATTTCATTAATCGATTCTGAATTATCTGTAAATTGAGTTAAAATAATCTAAAATTGTTGAGACATTCGTGAAATAAAACTTAATATTAATTGTGAATAACGTAAATACATTTAATATAAATACCATAAGCACTTAAATAACAAGTCTGTTTCTTCTTAAGCTATGCATTCCCTATAAGTTATTATTAAAATTCTGTGAATTACAAAGAAAATTAGATATTACTGTTAGACAATGATATCAATATATTGTATAAAAAAGCAAATTTGAATGAAATAATGTCAATATTTGGTGCAATCATTTGATTAGATTTAAGCACAAATCAAAGTTTGTTCACAATGTTCACAATTGACTGTTGGATATGAGCGGCAAACTTATTGGCTCTCATTTTAAATTGCAATTTTGTAATAATTTGTGTATATTTTCAATTGATTTTATTAAATCGATTGCTTTGAATGTGAAAAGACTTGCGAAAAGTTTTTGACCCAAACTATTGTAACATAAAGTTAAATGCACTCATAGTCTGACTAATCGTTTAATAATGAATTGGTTTTAATAATAATGTCATTTAACTAAAAGAAGAAAAGAGAAATGAAATGATTATAGATTTGATGAAAATAAATTCAATACTAGAATATATTTCTAGTATTGAGTTATGTATTCATACAATACATATTGGAGAGCATTAATGCCCTAAACTTGAAAGCAATGCAAACAATGGTTAAGTAGTGTTAACCAGTGGTTGAGGAGGGAGAGGGAGAGAGAGAGAGCAGCGCTCACATCCCATGCCATACAATATGGTTAATCTGATTCATGTATTAAATGAATAGTTTGTACGCAAGCGCTAAATGGTATGCAATTTATTTGGTACTGTATTTTATGGTGTATTTAAATTGTACTCAATTTCTCATTGCATTGATTGCTATGATTTCAGTGATCGACTAATTCTGTCAGTCGTCGCAAACTTAGCCCACTATTGAACCTATGATTGAAACCTTATTTTCCACAAATTCACTAAATTATCATCAATTCATTATATTTCAACATTAATTGCAACAAAACTATGAAACTATGTTATATTCAATTCACATTTCATTAAACCCTTTGTTCATTCAAATCAATACTAAATTCTCATTTTATTCTCAATTCAAAAACATTTTCCTTTTTAACAAAAATACAACAAATAATGATTTAAATTAAAATTAACATAAAATTGAATGCAATTAATTGCCACAAAAGTTATCATAAAAATGATAACAACGACTCATTTTTGGATCAATTATTATAATAATAGAAATAATTAGAGTTTGAAAAGACATTCAGAAGAGTGCATTGAATATTAGACTAAAGGCATAGGAGTGATGGGTAGTGAAGGCATCTCTCCATCCCTTCTCTCCATCTCTTTATATTTTTCATCCTTTCCTCACATTATATGCTATAAAATGCGACAATCAATTCAATATCAATTATTTTTGGCACCATTTCTATCGTTAGATGATTTCAATTATAATTAATTTATACAAACTTTTAAATAAATAAATCGATTGTATTTTCTATGAATTGGCTTTAATATTGAAACGAAGAACAATGACATCAGAAGTATTGATATTTAACACACATTTAGACTAAATTAAATGACAAAAAGGACATGACTTCAGAAGAATAGGGATAAAGAGTGGGATGGGATGAAGATTGTGTCTTCACATGAATTATAAAGTATGATAATGTCTAACAATGACAATGGTTTGAATGAGTGAAATGTATATGCATTTCGTGAGACAATAATTAGTTTTATTGGTTCAACGATTGGTTCATTCATTACATGATATACTGATTATTATATCATAACTAATATAACATAGAAGTGAATGATTGCGTTAACAATGATGTCTAACATTGCAATCGATATAATAGTGTTGTTATTAGAGCTCAAGAACTGAAGAGTTGAGAGAAAAAGTGGGGTTTGTGTTGAGAGAGCGGTAACTGAAGAGATGTATTGATTTAGTATTGGATTAGGAGTTGAGTCTAAACTGCACACAAAGTGTGGCTCAAAGCGAGACTAAATAGCATTCAATTCATTGATCGAGTGGTGAATGCAATCAGAAGTGACTTTCATTACTTCATCTCATTTTGATGGGAGGAGTGAGTGAATTGTGAACTCCTAGTGAATCGACTAAACTATACGAAAACTAAACTAAACTCTAAATAGCGTTCACTTAACAGCACTGTTAGCACTGTATAGCAGAGAATCGGGTCTTCAATGCTATCCAATGGAGTGAACGCTAACACAGACTGACTACACGACTATAACTATACGCTGAATGAGTGAGTGTTTAACTACTATTCAGTATTCAATTGTATTGCAGATTGTATTCAACGCTAACTCTGGAAACCAAACCAAACTGTTTGCAACTCTCGACGACTGGTTTGCAGTTAACATAACTATAACTATATTGAAAACATAGACAACGCTTTCACTCGAGGGTGCGGTTAATCATTGTCTCCACACCAGACACTCAACACATCCATTCATCACATCCAACACATCCAAAGGTAATGACATTTTGCTACTTATCATCACTAATCTTGACATAAGGAGAATGTGGTCAACATTTTGGTCACAATGTCTAGCATTAACGCAATGAACGCATTGCTCGCATGTATTGCTTGTATTGATAGCATTGATAGCATTGAATACATTTTCAACAATTCAAACAACTATTGATTGTAATAATGGCAGTGAATGTGAATGTGTTTTATGTTTTCTTTGTCTCAATTGAACACAACGTTTAATGCCTTCATTACTATCAACACTGTTCACACTCTGCTGAGGGTGTGTCCCATCGCTACACACATCACCCGTAACTGATCCAAGCATTTGTCACACCATTTGTCACATTTTTACCACATTTACATGACTTTCTCGATGAAAACATTGAGCGCTTTGTTTGCCTCTATTTCTCACCATTACTTCTGGACATAACATGCATTTCATACCACTATTACCACTCATTATCTCATATTATTACCACTTATTACTACCCATTGTCTCACTTTCGAGAAACAATTAATTGATTATAATTTGCGATTAAAAGTGAATTTATTATTAATTAAGTAATTGTTTGTATATTCAGTGAATCAGTGAATCATTTTGAATGCCATTTGAGACACGCGTGAAGACCGAAGACTCAATGATAATGAGTTCGCAAAGCCATCACAACAACCAGTCGTTTCTGCAATCATATGGTGTCCAGAATCCGCAGATCCGACCCGTGATCGAAAGGGGCGCGTCTTGGAGTTACAACGAGACCAGAATCTTATTGTCTTTATGGGGACAAGACATGGTTCAGAGACAACTCACTAATTCCAAGAGGACTCGACATGTCTGGGAGAAGATCGCCGAACGCATCCGCGAACACGGCTTCGACCGCACGGCCGGTAAGTGGCCATACATTTGGCATCGGATTATCAATTGTGACAATTATGTGATGAGTTGTGTATTGATGTGAATTTGCAGATCAAGTGCGGACGCGAGTCTTCAATATGATTGCCGAATATCGACGTATACTTAAGAATCCGACGCCAGAGCGCAAGAAGAAGTGCATATTCTTCGACGCCTTGCATAAGATATATCAGGCGAAGGACTCGAATGCCATCAAAATGGCACTCAATAACTATGAGGAGGAATATAACTTCGAACCCATTGAGTTCAACGCCGGCGACGAGAATATGGACGGAACCAATGATAACGACGGCGGAGAAGACGACGGAACAGATGGAGAGGACAAGAGCGAGATCTTTGCCTATTCTTTGTCTCCGAGCGCTACTCTTAATAACAATGTTGTCACTAATGGCAACAATACAATGGATTTGCACTCAAATAATGGTTAGATATTATTTTAATACTTATTGTCTTCAAATTGATTGTCTAACGAATCATTTTCTCGTTTAAACAGAAGATTCAGTCGACTGTCCCATCAATATTCCAAACGATGGTATGATTTGTTTTTATAAATTGTGGTGAATGTAGTGAATTAATTGGTGATTATCTCTGCAGACATACCAATGATTCCGCCGCCAAAAAGGTGTCGAACAGAAGGTTCTGTGAATCAATCTCAATACCAGACAATGTCTTCATTATTCGACAACTCGTATGCATAAGATATATCAGGCGAAGGACTCGAATGCCATCAAAATGGCACTCAATAACTATGAGGAGGAATATAACTTCGAACCCATTGAGTTCAACGCCGGCGACGAGAATATGGACGGAACCAATGACAACGACGGCGGAGAAGACGACGGAACAGATGGAGAGGACAAGAGCGAGATTTTTGCCTATTCTTTGTCTCCGAGCGCTACTCTTAATAACAATGTTGTCACTAATGGCAACAATACAATGGATTTGCACTCAAATAATGGTTAGATATTATTTTAATACTTATTGTCTTTCAATTGATTGTCTAACGAATCATTTTCTCGTCCAAACAGAAGATTCAGTCGACTGTCCCATCAATATTCCAAACGATGGTATGATTTGTTTGACTTGTTTATAGAAATTGTGGTGAAAGTAGTGAATTAATTGGTGATTATCTCTGCAGACATACCAATGATTCCGCCGCCAAAAAGGTGTCGAACAGAAGGTTCTGTGAATCAATCTCAATACCAGACAATGTCTTCATTATTCGACAACTCGTCGTCCGCTTTACTTATTGACAGAATGTTTGCTCATTTGTCTAAAGAAACAGAAGTAATGAGAGAATGGGTTGGATTAGAGAGGGAACGGCTCTCACAAGAAGTCTCCCGACGGAAGGAAGAGAACGAGAGAGACGAACGCCGAGAGAAAGCATTTTTGGCGCATTTGATGCGAATGCAGGAACAGATGTTCAGCTTTTTATCCAAACAACAATTAGTAAACCCGGCGTCTGTGGCCAGTGGTCTCTCATTGCCAGCCTCTCCATCACATTCGGATCAACACAAAGACTAAATTCAATTTTAAAAAGCAAAGAATCGATACGAATCTGTTGTTCACCAAACGTATCGTTAGTTTAGTATTAAGGCTACAATTATTAGAAGAAATACTTTCCTTTGTTGTAAGCATTTTGTCAATCCATAGGCAAAAATGTTGAATTGATTTAGTTTTTGAGTTGAAATTAGTGAATGCGATGGCTGTGACACTCATACGAGATAATTGTCTCACCACTTATTGCTTAGTTTGAAACCATTACTCAATTGTATCAATTGTTCTAAAGGACAAGCGATGATCTGCTGACCATTGGATCTATTCTTATGTCTTTAATTTGCTCCGAAAGGCCTCAACCATTGAATTGTAAATAATCGATACGTTTATGTTCTCTAACAAACATTAGAGAGATATTATAATCAACTCTTTTCTAGTACTGAGTTTTCAATCAATTGCCGCAGTATTTGCTATCGATTTGAGTCGATATCATGTCAATCGTGACAACCATTTCATTACTACAACCAAATCATTACTTTATAAATAGCATTGATTTTGTTTAACTTATTTCGTAATTCAATTTAACTGCTCTTTGATGTAATTATTCACACTTTAATTCATAATTATTATTATTTGAATGACATTTTCAATATTATATTTCAGTTTTTCTAACTTATTATTAGACCTTATATTTTATCGAAAGTCAACACAATATAACTTAAATGTAATGAATGATTGAATAAAAAGTTTAGTAACTTTTGTGATATTTATTTGTTTCAATACTTTATCTCTTTTTTAAACTTATTATTAGACCTTATATTTTATCGAAAGTCAACACAATATAACTTAAATGTAATGAATGATTGAATAAAAAGTTTAGTAACTTTTGTGATATTTATTTGTTTCAATACTTTATCTCTTTTTTGTCAATTAATTTACATTCAATCAATTATAACCAAACGTCGCTAAAACACTTAATGTTATTTTATTTTTCTAATATAAATGTCTTGTTTTATCGTTTAACTAAACAATATGTCCATTAAAATCAATAGTGGCTAACATCACATCCAAACGCAATAAATTGATTGCATTTATTAAACAATTTATTAAAATCTATAATTTCTGAACATATATTAATTGTGTTATAAATTTTATTCAAATGATAGTTCAATGACTGAATACATGTTTTAAGAATAGGTTCCTTCGTTTCAGTGAGACTTTAATTGCCATTTAATGTGATTTTTGCAATCGATTGAAGATTATATTCTTGTCGGACAGCACTTGAAATCATTTTGAAGTCCAGTCTTTGATGTAATTAAGCGAAACCGGGGTTCGAGTGTTGTATTAAACATTGTTTGCAAAGTCTCTTAACATAACGATACGATTCAATGGTTATGTTTTGGCAGTTTGTGATGTTTAGGAGAATTAGTTGTCGACAATTATAAGCGATGGACATAATGCCTGTGTCCGAAACATATGGACATTCTTTCACCGATAGTTTCCGAAGATTTGAACACTTTTCTGATAAAACTCGCAATCCTTTAATTAATTGTAAAAATAATATTTAAACAATTGGTTTATAAATATTAATTAAATGGTTTGATGTTTGTTGAATACCTCTATCTGTAACTTGACATTTGCCTAAATCTATGGCTTTCAGTCTTGGGCCACAACTTCGGGCCAATACTACCAATCCTGCAATGTTTGAAATTAACCGTAAGAAATTACTAAATGATTAAGGAAGAATTGATATAATTACCATCATCAGATACATCTTCACAGTTTCTGACATTAAGATAACGCAGTTTAGGACAATGTCTAGCAATTTGTTTGATCCCAGAATCAGTTATTTGATAACATTTTGCTAAACTTAGATATTTTAAGTTTACGTTTAACTCTAAACTCAATTCATAACAAACAAAATCTGTAAATTGTGGACAATAGCTAATTGACAGCTCTTTTAGTTCTGGACAATAAGTGGCTATACTTTTGATTGACTGATCTGTTAATGCCGTACATCTTCGCAGATAAAGATTTGTTAATTTTTGACCGAAAAATTTTAAAAAGTTTTTTAGTGAATAGTCATCGATTTGGTGACAATCGCTTAAATCTAAGTAATTAAGTTTTGGCAAATATTCTGGTTGTTGTACACCATTAAGTGACACATTCGTTGAGCCTATCATAAGTACAAATTAGGAATTAATTAGTATAAGAATAAGTTTTTAAAATATAAATATTCAACAAATAAATACCCGTTATATCAATTTTCTCAAGATTTGCACACTTGGAAAGTATTTTATTAATTCCTGCAATTAATAGCAATTAAATATTAAAATATTTGACATGCATTTTGTGATATATGAATTTACCAAAGAATGTTTGAGTACATGATCTAAATTCAATTGTTTTCAGTTTTGAGGCACACTTTCTGGCGACCATAATCAGACTTTTATCGGTAAGTTTGTCGCATCCGTTCACTACAATCCTCTCGATTGGTAGCGAAAGGTTTTCGTTGTTTAATGAATTAGTAAACGATGTGTCGGTTGAAGAATACGTGTTATAAGAGAATTGCCAACCATTTGACTGAGTCTTTGCTCTACAGTATGACTCCCGGGAAAGTAATCTCATGATTGTGATGAGCGCTCTGTCGATATTCAAGTTTTGGCATTTGTTTGAATTGATAATTAAAGTCTGCCATAAACTTGGATCCCATGTTAAATAATACCATCTTCTGGATACTCGACAACAAGAGCTGCACAACTCGTAAGTATTTAAATAACCAAATATTTTTATCACTAACTCGTCGACGAGTTTATCAAAATAATTGGTAAAATTTGTCTTATTATTAAACTTTTGTTTTGTTAATATTGATGTTAATGACGGTGTGACAGGTTTGGCACAATATGTGAGTCGCTCTTCTCTCATCGCTAATTCAGATGAATAAATATTTCATATAAATTCACTATTAATTACTATATTTAATAATGTGTTCAAACGCTAATCACTTACTTCTGCTATTAGTGTTTCGGGAATGTGTGGGCAAAAGAGGTGTCGGAACTAATGTATAATATCCCTGATCTGTGGTTATTGAAGGAGAGAGTGACCGATAGAGTGACAACTTTTTCGCATCCAATGCTAGCGCCGAGTCTTGCATTATGTTCTACCGGAGGGTTTCGCTCACATCTAAACCATTGAAATGTAAAAATGGTCTTTAAAAAAGTGGTTACAAATATTAGGTAGCATTTGAGAGCCTCACACCTATGTTTATTCAGGTGCTCTTTGAGTGTGAAGTAAACTTTAAATAAATATTGAATAAACTTAAAGAATAGCCATTTGAATGCAAAAGAAATAATATTTTTATAGATAAACAAATAGTGTAAATAAATTTCAAGAATAGGCCCATAAATGCCCAGAATCTTCTCTACAATCACTTCAATAACATATTGAATATATTTAATGAAAGTTTTAAAAATTTCCAAATTCAGTGTCAATAATTCCCTAACTATTTACTTTTTCTTATAATTTTGCCGTCATTTTATTTAAATGTTAATTAAATGGTTGATTCATTAGAAATATTTAAATAATTAAAAATATAATAATCATAAACATATTTCTTGAATTGAATTTATTAATTTTTACACACGTAATGAAATTCAACATAAGTTAATTTTCTAGACAGACGTGTTTTAAAATACAACAAATTATATTTAAAAATTTCTCTTATATTTATTCAATCTCTTAGCAAATACAATGCAATCTAACAATTAGAAACATTTTTCACCAGTTTCTAAATAAGAAGAAATATAACTTATGATAATTTATGAAAACAAGTTAAGTTTGTTAAGTATGGACTCAATGGACAAACCTGTGGATTATGTAATCAAATTATTTTACTTGTTATATAAAGAACTCAATAAAGTTATGCACAAATATTTGTGCACAGGATATGATCGTTAAGCGGTTAATCTCATACATATTTAATAAGGAAATTTCATTCAAATGGCAAAGAGGACAGGCATAAGACTTAGCCATAGACATAGGCAATAACTACCAGTAAAACTGGCTCAACGCTTAATGCCTAATATTTAGTTTTTATATAAATCACAAGTAATACAACTTTTATAAAATTTTAATATAAACTATTTAAAGATTTTGATGTTATATTACAATTAGAAAATCATACAAATTGTTGTGTATTCTTACCCGTAATTAAAGTCATATCTTCTAAATATTTAAAAGTTAATGAAAATTGTCAAAAAGTAAAACTTTTGTTAAATCATAATAAGAATAGTTGAAAACATGTTTAACAAAAAGTTGTATAATTTATTTATACATTGGATTCACAGAATAAACTAAGAAATTGTTCACAAATTGAATACTTCTTCTAAAACGTTTGTTAAATGAAAATCAATGTAAAAGTTGTAATGTTTGAGGCACTGAAACGAGTGGAGGACTGACTGGTGTTCAGACAGTGACCACAGTTTGCTGTCTCTGCAGTAAAGAGTCTTTACACTACTTTTAATACCTGTAGTGCCGGCTCAGGGCTCTCAGGGCTCATGGACTCGGACCAGAACTCATCAACTCCTGCAGTGTTGGCTGTATTTTAAGTTTGCGTATATATTGAGTAGATATTCACTTCAGATGGTATTTACGCCTCCGGGTATCTAAGGATGGGCTGTATTTGCTTTTTAATACTCTTAGGTCTTCCCTGTATAATAGGAACGAGATTTTGTTTTAATGCATTCAATATATTATACAGAATAAAGTTTTTTCCTGAAGAGCACAGGTATATACCGTAGGCTTTGTTCTTATTAATAGTTTGCAATTTCTATCATATATTAACACATTTTATCAAATAAAACATAACGTATTGAATGTGCAGTCATTGACACTAACCTTATGTCATATCTAATGATGGGATGAGAAAAATGAGATGAGATTAAGAGCTAATCTTTTCTTTAATCACATGTAAGGACTCTCACAAGTTGTTATAAATTAGATTTTTTTATCGCAAAAAACACAAAATCTATGCATTCATTCAATTTTAATGACCATTTTATTCTCTCTCTCTCTCTCTCTCTCTCATTCAGACCTTCAAATGAGCCAATCGTTTGCCACTCAAACCATTAACTCTGACTCGTTATCAGACGTNTCTCTCTCTCTCTCTCTCTCTCTCTCTCTCAAACATTTTATAATACTTGTGTATAAATGTAAAGATGAGGTGTGAAATGAATACTCTTTAACATAACCTCTGGTCTGACAGACTATACACAACGTTATAAAAGATGTTTTGGTTATACAGTCTTTGCAAATGAAAAGCAAATTCTCATAAAAATGTAAAGCGAGTAATAAATCATATTATAAGAGATGAGCACTCGTTTAATTGTGTATTCATTAATGCACACACATATTGAGTCTTTGATAATATTAAAACTTTGAAACCCTCTTATATTAAACCAAACTGTGTTTAGTTTTTAATTAATTAAAATATAAAATACATTTAATGGCAGTAAAGAACTTGAAAGAAATAACAGGCAATTCTTTTGATAGATAATGATGTTTAATATTTAATACTTTTCCAGAGTGTAAAAGTTAAGTTTTTGTTTTAAACCTTGTAATGTGGCCATTTAAAACTATTTTATAATATAAATTAATAATAATTTCAAACGTGATGCTAATTAGTTATTTAACGACCAATTTAACGATATTAGTATTATTGTCACTAAATTATTACAAAGATACTCCTTTATATGTAGTTTGTTGGTTTTAAAGTTTCAACGTTTTTAACATCATGTAGTTTTCAATTTGTATGAATAGTGTGTTTATTTACTCTATCAATATTTTAATTTAAAAACTATAATAGTTTTCTCTTAATTTTGTAATGAAAACTATAATTTTATATCATTTATAACTGGATTCTAATAATTTTGATGTAATATTATATAAATATTACAGAATTTTAATACCAGGTGTTATCCATTTAACTTTGTTTTTAATCTCTTACGTTCACGAGAGGGGGAGAGAGAGAGAGAGAGAGAGATCGCAAAATACAGTTACAAAACAAAAGGTTTTTGTTGAGATATTTCTATATTCACTACAATTGATGGCAAACGCAGAGATTGTCTCGAAAGCAAAACCAAGATTTAGGGCACAAATCCCACACTCGATTCAAACCAGTTATATAAGGCTTACATTGATTTCACATTCTGTAGTGAAGAGCTCTTTCGTACACTTCTTCAGAAGTCGTACACAATATCTCAATAGTTTTGTAAACACTGTTTAAACTTCTATTTTGTCTAATCATTAGATTCAGAAAATTATTTTATTTACGAAATTTTAAACTTTAGTTCATTCAGATTGAAAAATATCGAGATTTAATTTATACTAAAAATTTGATTTTTTATGTGTTTTATAATTATATAAATAAGTATTTCTAAAAAGGTTTTGATTTAAATTATCATTCATTAGAAGAAGGAGTGAGAAGTGAAAGTCTCGACTCGAGAGTGAGTGTTGAATGAGAGTTAGGATATCTGTGTGTATAGTATAGTAAGTAATATAAGAATAGTTAGACTATAGTTAGAAATATCTGTCAAAATGTTGATGACGTTATCTCGAGCTTGTGTTACACCAAACGACTCAAAGCCGGGACACAAAATGCCTAATAAACAAAAGGTTATCAATGATAATGACAGCGAAGCCGATCTCTCGGATAAAGGGATCAACGCATTGGAGGAAATCCCAAATATTAGTGAGTTTTTCGTTTTGCTATTCATTTTTAATTACAATTTAAATCCCGATTCAAACACAAGAGACGAACGCATTGGGCGTTGGTTTCCATAAGTAAGGCCTTATATGGCTTTTGCACAAACTTTACTATAAAAGGACATTCACTTCACTTCTTATACACTTTTTTGATACACTTTTTCTCAATATTATATATAATTTGGTAATTAATTTACGATTTGTTTGATTGTTTTCCCGATTATAGTGTATTCACATAACATAACTCGTCTCACATTAAGCCATAATAAAATTAAAAGTAAGACTTTTACCACAAAAATGCATATATTTTTCTCAACTTTTGCAACATTTAATAAATTTTTGGAGATTTTATTACAATAACTGATTGAATAAAAAACATCATAAATGATATGTTAAAACACACGAAACAAAAAATGACAATAAAGTAATTGAATTAATGATGTGATGATCAGGTCTTCCGCCATCGATGGCAAACCTCTCGAATTTAGAACAATTGAATTTATGTAATAATCAGATCGAAGAATTGCCCACTTCTTTGTCATCAATGACCAGATTAAAAGTCTTGAATCTCGGGTTAGTTTCACACAACTTAATGGTTAAATATTGAGATCCATACTAAGCAAAAATATACCCCCAGAATGAATCGACTCAATTCACTGCCCCGAGGGTTCGGCGCCTTTCCAGCCCTCGAAGTCCTGGACCTGACCTACAATTTTCTATCCGAGAAGTCACTTCCGGCCAACTTTTTTATGATCGGTATAACTGAACAAACATATCCCTCCACTAAACTCTAATTCATTGTATTTGTATCGCATTGTAGAGACTTTAAGAGCACTTTATTTGGCGGACAATGAATTTGAATACATACCGCCAGACGTCGGTTCCCTTAAGAACCTACAAATTGTAAGCATTTAACAGCATTGGTGTTAACAATTATATTAGTAACTAAATAGTGATCACTATTGAACAGTTAGTATTGCGAGATAACGACCTCATAATCCTTCCCAACGAAATCGGACTTTTGATTCGTTTGAGAGAACTTCACATTCAGAACAACCGATTGACGTAAGCCTTGATTTGAATTGCAATACAATTGATTAATTGCAGAGCCATTTGTCTCACGCATTGATAGGGTATTGCCTCCAGAATTGGGTCAAATAGACCTGTGTTCACATCGAAGTGTTGTCCGTATGGACGGCAACCCATGGGTGCCACCAATTGCTGATCAGTTGCAGATTGGAGTCACTCATGTGATTGAATACATCCGCACCGATACATATAAATTGTGAGACAACATACTATTTATGATCCATATATTCAATAATCATTTTATTAAACAGTCTATACGGACGCCACTCTCAGACAATGACTCCGTCGGCTATCCCTCCACGAAATGACGAGCGAAGGGCACGAAAGTTGGCCCGAAATAAACAAAATCCTTATAAATTGTAACTAAATGTTAATTGAATGAAATTTGAGATGCATTTAAGACATTATATTTAAGTACTGGTCTCTCAACCAGTTATTAAGATAACCAAAACTGAAGACTAAACCCAGAGATTAATTATTTATAGTCACTCTTTGCCTTCAAATGTTCATTACTTTGCAATTATTGTTTTGTACTTTAAGTAACTCAAAATAATAGTCCATTTAATTACTGCAATACTATTGAACTACTATTTTAGCCATCAATTGATTGCCAAATAATTTGCCACAAATTGTTTTACAAAATGAAGAGATTTAAATTTATTTAAGACTAAAATTATACTAACATTTAATATACAATTCATTGTAAACATTATGAAAATAAAAAAAATAAGATTTACTTTTAAATCTACAAAATATGGGTAAAAATATACAATCGATGCAAAAACACTAAAAACTTTTAGCAATTGAATGACAATCACTTAATTTGATCCGTTTATTGTGTCCGACGTCTGATAACGAGTCAGAGTTAATGGTTTGAGTGGCAAACGATTGGCTCATTTGAAGGTCTGAATGAGAGCTCAAACTCCCATCAGATTGTGGTTTAGGACTCGAGTGAGCCGTCGATAGTGTGGACAGACATTGAGTACCAATGGATTGAGACAATTGACTTGCGGTGGCGTCCAGTGATGGCCAGTGAGCGGACTGTTTGGTGCACTTCTTGGAGAGGGCCTCCTGTAAGATACGGGAAGTGATGGTCTCCTGATTGACATCCTTCTGGAAGTGCAAAATCTTGTTCAACAGAAACCTTCGCTCTTCGGTTCCCTTCGAGAGTTTGTCTAAACATTGATTCAGTTCTGAATGAATGGCTTTATTAATGAACACCAATTGTCGGATCTGTTTCTGAAGTCGAGTGCATTTGTCTTTGTATCGCCTATTCGTGAGCTCTTCGGGCGAAGTAGTGGTCACTTCGATGGCGAGCTTCACGTTTGATCCGTACGAGTGGTAAGTGTTGGACAAAGCATTGGTCGGATGGGAAGTGCTTTGATTGGGTGTACAGATGAACGAACACGAGGTCGATATGGAACCGTTGGAACAGTTGGTGCTAAACATCACCACAAACTGGTCATCACTTCTTCACACAATCACTTCATTAATACCCAAACTTAGAGTCCATTCAATGTTTTGTTTTGACAACAGATTGAGTCCATATTTGGCACGTGTTTTGTGAACAACCCTTCAATCGGTGAATAAAACTAATTTATTTGAACAAAAAGTTTGTAAAACTTGTAAATCAAACTCTTTTCAAATTATAATTAAGTATTGCATTCATATTACACAATATGTCTGCGACTATACATAGGATTGCCATCATTTACTACTAAAACACTCTTTTAATGGCAGAGTTGAGTGCTTTGGGAATACAATATAACTGTTATTGTAATCAATGATTCAAATGAGAGAGTAATCATGATTTTAGCTTTCAATAAAAGTTGTGTTTAAAAACCAAAAATATACTAAATTATACCAACCATTTGAAAGGCAAGTTAAAACATGGCCATTCCGATGTGATCACTCATACGACCTTGGTGCAGTTAATTACAATTAATTGTTTATTTCAAGTACTTGTGTTTGAAAGTTGCAAATTGAAAGCAATAATGTGACAAAATTATGAAAAACGTTTATTTATTAATTTTTGTAAAAAACTAATTTTTAATGACTTATTAGTCTATATAATAAATTATCACTAATTAGTAGTTGTCTTTCGTAGAGAATAGTCTGTAACACAAATATCTATTAAAAATTTATGATAATAATCATATATAATATACAGCATATATAGTAATCAAATATTGGTTATGCATTTGTGACCAAAAATATTATTGACTTTTTTGAGTAATTGTGGAGAANGTTGGAGGCGATAGGTATGAGTGCTTAATAATGTTTGTGTTAATTGCATATTAATTGTTGTGTTAATGAATTTAGTGCTAAACTGGAGGGCCCTTCATATGTGGATCTGTTATGTCATCTGCACAGAGAAATACGAACTCAACTCAACTAAGAATTTGAACATTTTATACGACATTCACTTTATTAGAGAATATTATAAACAGAAACATCTATTTATTGAAGAAAACTCTCACAATTGCAAACAATTGTAATTTACAACAAATTGTGTACATTTGATAAAATGCACTGAAATGTATGCCAACGTTTGATATCATGAAATTTGGTTCAATTCGATGTTTAAAACACTTACTGTAATGAGAGTCTCAATGCTTTGTAATTTTATTATGTTTAATATATTCATCGAAATACAAAACTAAAATTTAAAACAATTGTTTGAAAATGTGTATTAAATTTCTTTAAGAAAGATATAAAAGGTTTATTACTTTTAATTTATTTCAATTGGTTTTGCGTTCATTCGAAATATTTTGTAAGTTTTTGGATTTATTGTAATTTTATAGCAAATATTTAAATCAAAAATATTCAAAACAAATGATCAAATAAAAGTTTGTTCTGTTTTTATTGATTATAAAACTAAAGCATTAAATTAACTTTTAAATGAACTGTGTATTAATGATTGTCTCAAACAATACTATGGATATATCAGTCATATATACCGTAATTGTACCATGTACTGTATTAAAGTACACAACATCTTGTGTACAACCGATTCTGGTTCATCATTTAATACTCGCATCAAATCTATAGTGAGTCCTCCCTGTCATCCCTGTCCTCCCCTCCCATCCATCGCTTCCAACCCTTTGGCAACAAAACTACTGTATTATGCGTTAAATACGATACGAATTGAGTGAATGTAATGAGAGAGCGATTACAACATTCATAGGAGTAATGAATGCATGAAAGCGAGAGATGAGTGGCTATTATAAGCCATAAATGCGTGAATCACTGAATCACTCATTCATTCATTGGTTGCCTTTTTGTTTGCCTTTACTATCAATCGTATGATTCGTTTCTGTTATTATTGTAAACATTGAGAAGACATTCATTTCAATCACTTCTTCTGCGCTTCCCTTCAATTGAGTCCACAATTAATGAGCAAAACTATGAAATCAATCGTCTTTTTAGCGGTTCTGTCGGTTCTAACCAATGGTTTGTATTGTATGAACGCTGCAAAGCATACCATTGACTGATATATGTGTTAACGATAGGTCTGAACGCATTGCCAACCGTTGCGGACAACACCTCAGCGGACAAGACATGCAAATCATGCACTTCTTTGGTCGCATTCATCCATAAGTTGAATACAAATCAAACCAATCTCTTGGAGAATGCATTCGTCAACGTTTGTAACGATTATTCTTCACTTCCCGGACAACAAACCACTCAAACAGTAATCCATTCATTATTTATTCATTATTAAGACAATTGATATATAGTTTTGATTACAAAGACATGTCATATGTTTTATATCTATGAATTGATATCTCGTTCACAATCTCTTATTTCAATGCACTATTGGTTTACAAACTTTACGCAAGTTTTGTGCGAATTCTGTATTTTGTGAACAATTGAAGTGATATTTGAGTCAATTTATATAATTTTGTAGATTTTAATGAAATTAATTACAAAATATGAGATAAAATTAGAAATGATTGGAAACTATGACCAGAAGTGACTCTTTAATCGGTTAGCAATTGATTGATTAGTTTTATTGAAATGTATTTCCAATTATTGGTCATCTCTTTGCAAATAAACACATATTTATATAAAATCTGGAAAATATTTTAACCAAACTATTCATTCACTGTTTAATCAGTATTTATCTGATTTATAGTCTTATCATTTGTTTGACAAGTAGTGTATATTTGAAATGATTTTTATTTTTAAACAAATATTAATTGATAGGAAATAGTGTTAATTTAGTTCAAACCCAATGAAAACATTTATATTTACGAATATCTTTGAAAATATATTAAACGATAATTAATTGGCAATAATTTACGCATTAAATCATACATAGGTTTAGGCTTTTATAGGAGTAATGATTATATAATACTGCAATCGGATGTAGAATTGACTTAAAATAAATCACTATAACTTATAGTCTATAACTTTTTATGACAACAATTTAAAATGATTAAAATGGTAAAAATGAATACTATTATTGCATATTATCCAAAACATTAATTATCAAAGTTATTTATACCATAAAATTCCGTACATTACCCGCGGGTTATCTAATGAAAAAAGTGATTTTTTGGAAAATAATTTTGTGAGGGTTATCTATTGGGTGCACATATAAAATAATATTCAAACACTTAAGTTTGGAAACAAAACTATCATTTATTATGAAGTTTCCTCAAACATTAGATTAACATAACATGTGAATGAAATTACCGGTATTTCACAATGCATTTTGAAGGAAAT